CTGCGGGTTGTTCTCGCGTTCACATCGGGTGACAGGACGTGGAAGCTGAGGCTGGCTGCGGCGACCTGCGCAGCGCGGTGGGGCCGCATCTGTGCGAGTAACTGCCCAGCTCTGGAGAACCCAAGTTGTTGCCATAGTAAAAGCTTTAGATGTTCTCACTTTTTTTTTTTTTTAAGGCTTCAGATTTTCTGTGATGCATCTTCCTTCAGTACTGATGTCCTCTCAGCTTGGAGAACTGCTTGTCAAGTTGCTGTTAATGCCCTCACTGTGTTAACAATCAGAAATCATAGTCGCAGCCTGAAACGTTCAGTTATACAGGACTTCAGCTCTGAGCTGTTGCATGCAGCGTCGGTGACCTGCAGTTGTGAAAATGGCGTGCGTGGTTGGAAAACAGCGTTTGTGTCATCTGTGATGTGAGGATTCTGAGTGAAATAGATTACACAGGCTGCTTCTAGACTCTTAATGAAATTTGTTTTAAAGGGACAACTGCTGCTTCATTGCTAAGAAAATATTATTTGAATGTAGAGGTTCTTGGGGAAAAAAAACCCGCACAGCGATCCCTTAGGAGGGCAGCTGCAGGGCTTCTGTTGTTGCTAAACAGAATGCAGTGACGATCGTGGTTGCCCTTCCACTGCCTCTGTAATTGCCGAAAGGGGACCGGCCTTCTAGTGGTAAGGACTTTGCTTTCACACTGCTGAAGTTGTGAGTGCTTGTGGTAGCAGAAACGAACCTGAGGTGCATTTAGAGATTTTGGAGGCACTGGAAGTCCAGCGTGGGGGGGTTCGTGTACATCACACGTCTCCAGAGTTAGGGTTTTTACTTGTACATCTGTGACTGCTTGTTGGTAGCTTGAGGTAGGGTGGTGAAACTTGGCTACTGTGTAACCAGCTCCTTTTTTTTTCTTTCTGTCCCCCTGCTCTTGCTTTTCTGAATCCCTTGCCCTCTGGGGAGAGGCTGAAGGTTTGTAGGCCTCTTGGAAGACCACAGTGCTTGGTCTGTGTTCCAAAGGAGGTAGGAAGCCTTCCATAGTCAATTACAATGTGTTGATTCCCCTGGGAGAGAGCTTGGCCCTTCTGCACCGCTCCTCTGAACGCCTGCTGCACCTTCACCTCTTTAAAAGTGCACATCCTGAAGGGCCACCGTGACCCATCCTGTGAGATGACTCACGTTCCTGGAACTTTCTTGCCTGGCTCCTGAAGCTTATCAAAGGGCTAAAGCCCTTTTCAAACATCCTATCGGGCTTTATTAGGAAAAATGTTGTCTGCCTTTCCTATTTGGACTGTCCCTAGAGTTGCCTGGTGCATTTGGCTGTCTTGGGCCGCTGCTGACCAGTCGTGTCTGGACGTGCAAGGTTTCCTCCAGTGCCTCGTGCTCCCTGCGCGCGTTGGGTTGTCCTGGTAGGCTTGCAGGGTGCTGAGGGCTACCTTGCAAGCTGAAAATTTGGCTTAGACTATGTGGCTTGCTAACGAGTGCTGTACAGCTGCTCAGGAGGAGTCCTGATGAAGACACTGTTATTAAACCCTTAGATGGTTCTTGAACTCGAGGGATGGGGTCAGGCAGTGAAATAGTAACGGGTGTCATTTTCCTTCTAGGTCAGCTAGTGTTGCTGAACACTTTGATCCAGGGAACCAGAAAAGCTGCAAAGAACTTTCAGGATTAGAAGTGGCCTCTACAACAAATGTGCTCCTCATTTTAAGTTGCTCGGTGCACTAGATACTAAGCAGACAGGATTTACTCTGGCTTTCCCCAGTTTTATTGAAAGCAGCACACTCCCCGCTGGATGGCAGGAGGATAATTGCCTAAAGAAGTGTCTGACTTTCATGTGCATGTTGCTGAAAAGCTGTCTGGGCCAGAAGCACTGGCAGATTTGGCCTGGATGATACTGAGGTCTGTCTGGTGCCTTTTTTTTTTTTGCCTGGTTTACTGTCAGTTCCTTGTTACGGTTTGTTCTGCGTATTCTGCTGTCTTCCTGCTTCCCCAGCTCCACCAGCCAGGAGGGAGAGTGGCTGCGG